GTACTAAAACAATCAATGTATAAAAGCAGCACCAGCAGAAAATAATAAGCAGCATAAAACCAGAATCAAAATCTCTCTCACACACAATTCCATAGTATTTATTTTACACTAAGTTAAAGCTTCAAATAATGGAAAATGTATCTTGGAAACACTGTTTGTAACAAGAGGCTGATTGTGTTGCAAGATCTTTGATACGGATGCTTTGAGGGAATCCAGTGCTAGAATCCATTGCTCTTGCAGCAGTGTGTGGTAGTGAAAACTTTGTAACTCAGTAGGCCGAGCTATTAAAAAGTCAGTCAATGTGTTTCCACATTTAACAACCCATGGGAGCTGACTTCCCAGTGCTACACAGCTGCGTTATCATTATGCTTTCCCAACAATGAATTATCACATTCTTGGCTGCTGTCCAAAGGTGAACCCTCCATGGCACTAAGTTGAGGGCTTTCCAGTTCCTTCTTTTAAGGTAGGAGGGAAAACAGCTCATGTCTGGAGGAAACAAACAGAAGCGGGTGAGTGTGTTCAGATCATTTCTTCAAGATAATAAGCAGATAACTATATATGCAACAAAACAGGAGTCCTGTCACCATTCACATACAACCCTGGCAAATGAACCTTCTCAGAAGCTGCTGAATTTTCAAGTGACAAGTACCACACAATAGCTTTAAGTGCTCGTTTCAAGGACTCTTCACCGATTTTAAAAAAAATGACAACTGTGTGGTATAATGGGTAGACTCTTAGGGTTGGACTAGGAAGACCCAGGTTCAAATCGCTCCTAGAACTTGCTGCTTCAAGCAAACCACGGTTTCTCAACCTGACCTACCTCACATTTTGTGAACACAAATCATATAACTTCCACGTGCATTGCCCTGAGCATATAAACTGGCCTCCCTCCTCCCCCATTGTGTCATTTGGCTGGCATTGTTCAGCATAATACTCTGTAAACTGCCATTCATAAAAAAATAATTCAAGGGGACTTATTCCAAGGTGAGTGTGTCAAAGATGACAGTGTCACAGAATATGTCTTCTGCTCCCCGCAAATCAAAATAGCACCTTAGAGACCAACTAAGTGTGCATGCACACGAAAGCTTATACCAAGAACAAACTTATTTGGTCTCTAAGGTGCTACTGGACATTAAAAAAAAAAAGTTATATATTTCGACTGCGTCAGACCAAAACGGCTACCTACCTGAATCTCCCCACAAATCAGATCTGCAGTCAAAACAGGAAAGTGAAAATAAGGTGGCTGGCACATGGAGACACCTGAGAGTTAGTCCACCCATACATAATGGTGATAATTTTGTTCCTGGTGTAATTGCCTCATAGCAGATATCACACATAACTGATGAGCAAAGAGCATTCCATCACATTCGCTGGACACAGTTCACTCTGCAAAGAAGATCTTGCAAGTCATGTTGCAGAAATTTAGGCGTGTGCCACAGTACATATCGCTGCATACCAGGCGAAAGAATTAATAGAAATATGCATTTCCAAACTGAAATAATCCTTACTTCCCATGCGTTTCTTTCTTCTTCTTTTGGTCTCATCAGTCTATCAGTTCTCTCTCTGGCTCTATAGGCCTCAGCTTGTCTTGACAAATGAATGCATTGCTTTGGGCACAAGTACAGACGCTTATCAACAACTGTCTCGCACAGATATGTTCAAAGACGTGGCATGAAGTTCCTCTGTACATTTTTCTTCTTTGGCCCAGAAACCTTTCTGACTAGCCTTCCTTGAACAAATTCATTTCCTGTTAAATGGTGAAGCGAGGAAATAATCACACTGATATGCTGAAGAAGGTGGTTGGGGCTTCTGCACAAAAGCCTTCCTGTTTGTGCATTCTTAGGCCATGACAGATCAACTAATATTCCTCATATGACCACTCCCATAAGGATTTATTGAGTGCTGGAATAACAGAGGAGGAATTGTCTTGGGTTTGCGTATATAAAAAAGCACCCAAAAAAAAGGGAGGGGGAGTTTTTTCCTCAAATGTTTTGCAGGAAATTTGCCTGAAAGTTTTTAATTTTATAATATATCAAATTTAACTCTTTTTGTAAAAAACAAAACCAAGTCTTTCAGGAATTCATTTGGAGACAAAAGAGGGGGAGAAAGGAGTGGAGAAGACATACAAAGACGTTTATTGCCACAGCATAGGAAACAGAAGAGACAGCAGACCTGAATTTTTAATTACTAATTTTTGAAGTCACTCTTCTCTGAATTTCCCTGAAGACAGGCTGCCAGTCACTGTATCTCACCCTAACCTACCTCACAGAGTTGTTGTGGGGATTAAATGAGGAGGGGGAGAACCTTGCATGGCACTTTGGCCTCCTTAGAGGGATAAAAGTGCAACATATAAACTAAAACATAGTTTGGGGGTTGGTGATAGGGACATAACAGAGAGGGGGGGTCGTAGAACATTCCTTCACTTTCTGTCCCTCATGTGATTGAAATCGCACAAGAAGGGGGAACCCCTGGGCCACCACACACCAGACATTTAAAGCCCTAGGTACCAGTCCTGGCTTCCCTCAAAGAAGTCTGGGGGCTCCAAATATATTTGCTATCGGTGTAGAGTTGCTAGCTATGGTTCCTGAAGTTCCCTGTGAAGAGAGATTGATGGTGAAGCCACTCTAAGAATTGGAGCTCCAGAGGGTCTTCTACCAACTCTCAGCACTCTTAACAAACAACAGCTCCCAGAATTCTCTGAAGGAAGATATGTCCTTTTAAAGTAGTCTGGTATTGCTTTAAATGTCTGGTGTGAATGCGGCCCTAGTTAGGGCAAGGGTTAGTCTCATAGCAGTTTCCCACAGCCAGACTGTGGCACTAAATATGGAGCCCAGATCAATTTGTTTAGCTGGTGGAAGGCAAAAGCAACTACCTGTACATGGTGCTGATCACAACAAGCCTTTGTTTATAGATTTTGATTTGATTTATTAAACTTTATACTTTTAAAAGGGTCTCAAAGTGATGTGCAGTAGTTACAATACAATAAAGCATCATACAAACATATCAAAACAATACACAATATCTGTACAGTAATCATTATAAACACACTCACACTGGGGACTCACTCTGTATGTTTCCTGACACAAGGTGACAAAGGTCATCTCAGTACACCCCAATTGAAATGGATCTGAAAAACCCCAAAATGTCTCAGCTGGTCAGCAACCACCCACTCATAAACCTCACCAAGGAAGAAGATCTTTGTGCTTGGTCCATTAATTAGTTATTCAGATCTTCCAGGTCGAAGGAGGGTTTCTGGGTAAAGAGATACCTAGATCTCATTAGTTTGATGAATGTGGAAGTAACTTGGTGCAGTGCTTGGGTAACTTCAAAGAAGATGCTGAAAGCATGGTTGAAATGTCCTGATGTGCCACAGTGATGTCACAGCAGCCCATAGCGTGTGTGCTTAGAAGTTCCTCACCCCAGGAGAGGAAGGCCTGCAGGAGGCAAAGCCAGATGCAATTGTTTTTCTAATGCTCATTAATGGCCAATAAACGACAGTGGCAAACGGCACACCTGTACAGTAGAACAAAGAAAACAAACGTGCTCATGGTGTCCTGAAAATTCTCTAACCACATTGCTGGGGTTATCATTCAAAATGAAAACGGCAGTTTCCCACATCAGATACGGTGTCAAACCACATCAACCAGCTCAAAAACTAAGATTGCAAAGGGGCAAAAACATTTTTATAATTTCTTTGCATTGCTCTTTCAATTACCCTGCCACTTTATTGCACCACTAGATTCTGAATGAAAGAAGAAGAAAACCTCATGTGTTTGCAGAATTGAGTCATATGGCTATAAATCATCTCTCTGGTGGAGTCAGGCAGTTGAAATAAAGGGAGAGAGCTGAAAGGGAACACCCACTGTGATATGTAGCACAGCATAAGCTAGGTAAACATACGTGGGTACTTTTTATTTTCTCCTGGACTATGGAACCCTAGGGACGCAGGTGGCGATGTGGGTTAAACCACAGAGCCTAGGGCTTGCCGATCAGAAGTTCAGCGGTTTGAATCCCCGCAATGGGGTGAGCTCCCGTTGCTTGGTCCCTGCTCCTGCCAGCCTAGCAGTTTGAAAGCACGTCAAAGTGCAAGTAGATAAATAGGTACCACTCCGGCGGGAAGGTAAACGGTGTTTCCGTGCGCTGCTCTGGTTTGCCAGAAGCGGCTTAGTCATGCTAGCCACATGACCCGGAAGCTGTACGCCGGCTCCCTCGGCTAATAAAGCGAGATGAGTGCCACAACCCCAGAGTCGTTCACGACTGGACCTAATGGTCAGGGGTCCCTTTACCTTTTTATGGAACCCTAATTTCCACTTTTACATGGAAATGCGGACTGTTTCAATGCTTGAATATAGAAATCCTGGATATAGTTGCGAAAAGAAAAAGGCACGGCCGAAAATAATGATGTAAAGCAAATCCCATCAATGATTTCTTAGCTACTGAGGTTGTGATCTTTTACGTTAGCGAATTATCCCAGGACGCAAAAACCAGTCTGTTGCCAAGTTGTGCTTTCCTTTTTTGCTGCTCCCTTTAATTTCCAAGAAAGGAGGCAGAAGTTCCCTTTGCAGAATCGTAAACTGTGGTCTCTAACAGCACTATGAGCAGCGGTCACTTCTCACCTCTTGCAGCCCGCATTCCTGACGTCCCAACAGTGGCATGCAAAGTGCAAGAACAGCAGTCTGTATCAGTGACTCACAGCAAGACAGGAACTCTCAGCAGATCCACCCTTCCTTCCTGTACTCTATCAGCTGAATCGCCAGAAAAACCACAGGCAAAGGCAAGAGCAAAGAAAACCGGGGTGGGGGGGTGGGGAGAGAGAGCAAAGCGTCGCTCAGGAATGTTTAGAAATGCAGGACTCTTACTACTACATGGCAAACACACACACACTTAGGACAAATGACTTTTAAGTCCTTTGACTGCCCCTTTTCCAGGAAGGCCTGCTATTTCTAGAAAATCTCACATAACTGAATCAGTTGCAGAGCTTTTTATTCCCAGCAGTGAAGGTCACTTAACCAACTTCTACAGTCTTGTTGAGGAAGACTGGCTTTCTTGTTTTTAAAGAAATTAACAATGAAAAAGGTGACTGGGCTGACTTAAATTTTTGAATTTCCCTTTCCCCCTCATTGTATGGAATCAATAATTTTGTTTTACATTTTCTAAAGGTGAAAATGGCCATCTCATGAGAAGAGAAGACTCCCTGGAAAAGACCCTGATGCTGGGAAAGATGGAGGGCACAAGGAGAAGGGGACGACAGAGGATGAGATGGTTGGACAGTGTTCTCGAAGCTACCAGCATGAGTTTGACCAAACTGCGGGAGGCAGTGGAGGACAGGAGTGCCTGGCGTGCTCTGGTCCAGGGGGTCACAAAGAGTCGGACACGATTAAACGACTAAACAACAACAACAACAAAGGTGAAGATCCTGAGACTATAAGAAGATCCCTGTTGGATCAGGCCAATGGCCCATCTAGTCCAACATCCTCCTCTCACAGTAGCCAACCAGATGCATGTAGGGAAACTACAAGCAGGATCCAAGCACAAGACTACTTTCCCCTCCTGCGGTTTCCAGCAAATCATGTTGCAGTGAGACCTGGCAAGCTAACCCTGTGTTGTGGGTGGGTACGTTTGGATAGCCACAACAACCGATTGGTAGGTCCCTTGATGCAGGGTTCAGTCAGGCCAATGGGACACAGGCTAAATGAATCAAGAGACCTATATATACTTATCCATGTGACCCAGAGCTTCCTCTTTTGGTGCGTGCATCGGAACACCCGCCCACCTCTCCCTATATTTAGGGATTGCGCGCTTGACCTTGCTATGCCGTTGTGTGTCGTCTGTCGTTGAGACAGGGGCACGGCAGGAATTTCCCCACTTGGCTGATTGGCTGTTGCCATTTAGGTTTTGCCTGCTGCGTAGCAAATTGTCACAACTTGTAAGGTTGCGGATAAGCTGTGGTTCAGGTGACAGGGATGGGAGAACGCTCTCGCCATCCCTATGTGAAGGGTATTCCGTTAAAGGAATCCAGTTACTCGATGGTTTGGTCCACCCCTGTGAGGGGGTTGTGCCCGTGCCTGATTCCAGGGGAGCATTTGGGTGGCAGAGATTCCTGTTCCCGGTTTTCCGCTTATCCAAGTGTTCACCCTAGGCTGACCTATGCTTGTGCCCTGGGTCAGCGCTACCTGCAATGGTGCAGGGAGCTAGTCGAACCAGAGCCTATGCAACCATTCACTATAATCAATAAAGTTGTGGCCTAAATTCTGCCCAAAACCAAACCAAAATTTGAGTCTTGTCTGAATTTATTTAAGGGGGAGGTTTAAAGGTCGAAACATGCAACTGGTATTCAGAAGCATACTGTCTCTGACTCTACAGTAGAGGCAGAGCATAGCAATCAAGGCTAGTAACCATTGATAGCATTATCCTCCAATCCTCTTTTAAAGTTGGTGGTCAGCACTGCATTCTGGGGGAACAAGTTCCACAGTTTTACTATGCACAGAACGAAGAACTCCTGTGTCCTTAACCTTCCAACATTCAGCTTCATTACACATCCAAGTGTTCTAGTGATACGAGAGATGCCCATGAATACTTTTATACACTTCTTTCATGGCACCTCTTGCTCAGCTTTCCTCTCAACTAAAAAATCCCAAATGCTGAAACCTTTCCTCATAACGGAGTCACTCCATCCGCTTCTCCATTTTGCTTGCCATTTTCTGAGCCTCCTGTGGTTCCTTTTTTCTGAAGGCCTCGGACTTTTAATAAACTTGAAACTGAACTGCAACAGAAAACAATGACAAAGGTACAATTATGACGAAAGCAGAAAGAATGTGCGACTGATCCCACACCACACCAGGAACCGCTGTGGTTTCGCATCTTCTACTTATATCCTTTGAGATGTAAATCTTTTGCAGCTCGAGGGTCACATTCCTATTTGGGCAACCTTTGGGGGAAGGGTGGCAGCACATGCCAGAGGTGGGCGGGGCCAGAGGCAGAAGTGGGTGGAGCAACAGATATAAATTTTACCTCTGTACATCAGGCTAGTTTTTGCACATTCTCACACTTCTCTCTACCCTCAAGCCAGGTAAGCAAGAGGCATTTTCAGAGTTCAAGAATACATCCTATTATTATTATTATTATTATTAATACCCCGTCCATCTGGCTGGCCAGTCTGGGCAGCTTCCCACAAAATTTTATAATACAACAAAACATCAGACATTAAAAACTCCCCTAAACAGGGTTGCCTTCAGATGTCTTCTAAAAGTCAAATAGTTGTTTATTTTCTTGACATAGGGCGTTCCACAGGGTGGGTGCCACTACCGAGAAGGCCCTCTGCCTGGTTCCCTGTAACCTCACTTCTCACAGTGAGGGAACCGCCAGAAGGCCCTTGGAGCTGGATCTCAGTGTCCGGGCTGAACAGTGGGGGTGGAGACGTTCCTTCAGCCACTCTTCAAGCCATGCAAAAGCACATGTGGATGGCTGGGTGTACAAGGGATGAGATGATCTTCCAGATATCCTGATCCCAAGTGTTACACATTATCTCAGTGATCCTTGCAACAGCCCTGTAAAAGTAGGACATACAGAGAAAGTAGGCCACCCAGTAAGTAAGTGACCAAGATGACTTTTGAACCAGGGAGTTCCCAGTTCACATTCTTAGCCACTATCCAAACCCCCTGTTATTTACATTATAGACCATTCAATTTTTTAATCTGCTTTGCAGACAGAGAAAATGTAGAACACCCATTTGACCGTCACTTTTAGAGCAAGGAGGGTGCAAACTGGATAGCACTGCATGGGTATTGCATTGGCAAATGTCAAGGGGTTTAGCCAGTCCAACTGCAGAGGCAGCCGTATGGATTCTCATCGTATTTTGAGGCCCTTCCCATCAACAAAGCCAAATGTTCTTCTGCCTTAAGCCTAAATTCTGCAAGATGCAGTGCCATTGGTTTTCTTATATATAGTTTAATGATTGCCAGTGCAGCAAAATGGCCCAATCTTAGGCATATAAAGCTTGCAATTATCTGAGAGGGCCTTCTGGGGAGCGGCAGGAGAAATCCAAAAGCAACAGAAGTGTGCCATACTTTTATTAGGACAAACCAATAAGAATTAGTCCTAATAAAGCTACTCTGTTACTGTTGTTTTCGTATCCTGTGCAGTTTTGGACATAGCTACCCTCTGTTTCCTGTTTCAGTGAACAGTTCAGTTTCTGGGATCCTAGGAAGGTGTTGTTGTTGTTTTAGTCATTTAGTCGTGTCCGACTCTTTGTGACTCCATAGACCAGAGCACGCCAGGCATTCCTGTCTTCCACTGCCTCCCGCAGTTTAGTCAAACTCATGCTGGTAGCTTTGAGAACACTGTCCAACCATCTCACATCTCATCCTCTGTCGTCCCTTTCTCCTTGTGCCCTCAGTCCTTCCCAACATCAGGGTCTTTTCCAGGAAGTCTTCTCTTCTCATGAGGTGGCCAAAGTATTGGAGCCTCAACTTCACTATCTGTCTTTCCAGTGAGCACTCAGGGCTGATTTCCTTAAGAATGGATAGGTTTGATCTTCTTGCAGTCCATGGGACTCTCAAGAGTCTCCTCCAGCACCATAATTCAAAAGCATCAATTCTTCGGCAATCAGTCTTCTTTATGGTCCAGCTCTCACTTCCATACATCACTACTGGGAAAACCATAGCTAGGAAGGGTACCTAGGTTGGATACCAAGGAAGGTACCCAACACCAAATCAGACCATTGGTGCATCTAGTTCAGTATTGACTATTGTAATTGGTAGAGACTCTCCAAGGCTATTTCCAGGTCTTAAGTGGAGATGCTAGTCAGGAATTTGCTAGTACCCTTCCTTCCTTCCTCCCTTCCTTCCTTCCTTCCTTCCTTCCTTCCTTCCTGTCCACTGTTCCTTGCAGGGTGACCATTACAGTGAATGGGTTTGAAATGCTTGTTTCCTGAACCAGCATTAATATCTATCTCCTCTGGCTGTGTTTTGTGGGAGTATTATGTCTCAACACTACATTTGAGGGCTATGAGATTTTCAATCAAGTCATTAAGTGGAGCTTAGTGCTCTTTAACTGCTGCTAGTGGGAAAGGGGCAACGAGAATTCAGTTTATATAACACGTTAAGAAGGTTTTCAGTTTGACCTTATCAGTTTTGCTTCCCACAATAGGATTGCTTTAAGGTCCCTTATGACAATCAATCATGTGTGGAGGAACTGAGGTTCTTGAGGTCAGCCGGGAATGAGAAAGCAAAATAGAAAACAGCGTATGAGGCTGCCTGTTTCTTGAGTATCTTTGCTACATTATGGCAGGACAGCAAGTTACCTCGTATTCCCACAACAGCTTCATTTGTGTGGACTGATTTCCGGAGATGGGAGTGGGAGGTTCATTTGAAATTGTTTCCATAAGCATCCTCCACGGTCACAATTTAGTTATTCTGCTGCAATTTCCTTTTTTGTGGAACACAGCCAAGCATTCTGTTTCAATTTGTTCATTTATAGTAAATGCTATTTTCTCTTTTAGAATTGTTTCCTTAAACTGTGTTTGCTCTCTCTCGCTCTCTCTGGTTTGCTATTTCCTCTTGCGTTTGTTTGTTGGCCAAATAAAGCCCATGGGGCAAGACATAGTATCAGTCGTGATGGAGCAAGCAGGAGGCAACAGGGTGGTGATCACAGAAGCCAGATGTCCACACTGCAGCTGACCAGAGGACAGAATGGCTTAGGATAAATCCCAGGCAGATAACTTTTCCTCCCAATAAGTTCCAGAGCAGAAATGAGCTCATCCACACTTATGGTTGTCCTGTGATTTCTAAGCAGGGGTCCAACAGCTTTTTCTTTTATCCTGCCACTTTCCCTAGAAAAACCCACAGTTTACTGCTGAACTGGAACAAATATAAATACAGTTTTCTACAGACTGGCAATTGTCCCAATTCAGCGGCAAACAGTGGGTTTTCCTGGGGAGAGTGGTGGGACAAAAGAAAAACCTCTAGTGGTTAAGAGCGGTAGACTTGTAATCTGGGGAACCAGGTTCGCATCTCCGCTCCTCCACATGCAGCTGCTGGGTGACCTTGGGCTAGTCACACTTCTCTGAATTCTCTCAGCCCCACTCACCTCACAGAGTGTTTGTTGTGGGGGAGGAAGGGAAAGGAGAATGTTAACCGCTTTGAGACTCCTTCGGGTAGTGATAAAGCGGGGTATCAAATGCAAACTCTTCTTCTTCTCCTGCCTAGAAATCAGGGGGGAAACAGTCAAAATTTAGGGAGAAAGGGAAGAATGGATGAGCCCAACATCAAAGGTCCAGCATTGGGGCACCTGTAAGTCTCCAAAAGTTGTTGGACTCCATCTGTCCCAGGAAACATAGCAAATGGCCAGCAATGATGGGAGTTGGGGTACGAAAACGTCTGGAAGACCACATGTTCCTCATCCCTTCACCATACAGTAGTGTAAACTCTTACTTGAAGACTTACTTCAATCCCTATCAGTGAAGAGGATTCACTATTCCTTGGCACTGTGTTC